CCTTTGCGCGCTCATGCGTGCGCGCGTTGTGTGTGTGTGTGTGTGTGTGTGTGTGTGTGTGTGTGTGTGTGTGTGTGTGTGTGTGTGTGTTCTGAAAAACGTCCATATCTTAGAAGAAATAGGTACGAATAATGATGTAAAATTCCAGTTTCCAGTCTCTAAAATGTCTATGAAAGGGACTGCAGAAACATTACGCAGCCTTCACTTTTATCCTATACTGCAGAGCTCAATGTGGGACTAAGGGTGGTGGCTTCCCAGTTTGCCACAGGCCCAGTTTGACACAATTTCATTTCAGTATTTGAGTACTGATGACAGTCATAACTACGGCACTTTAATACTGTAGTTGTAACTTAAGTGTTTTTTTATTCTCCACCGTCAAATTGGTGGTGTAGAGATAGTCCGTCTAAAATGTCAATTCAGCTTGTGTTGTTCAATATTTTTTCCTTTTTGTATGCAAATCAAAGCAAATTACTCTGTAAACTTTTAGCAAAGGACAATCTTTCGTTAAAAACAATTTTTAAAAAAATAATAAATTCATACAATCAATCAATCAATCATTCTTCTCTTTTTGAGAGTGTCAGTGATACGTTTCATCATGCAGGGCAGAGTCGAGGCCTGTGACAATCTGGGCATGTGACAAACTGGCCTGCTTCCGGACTAAGGGTGCCACTGGTACGCCCTACTTCTTTTCTTTCCTTCATTTGTTTCTGTCTGTCTGACCATCTTACATCTCGCCTGCACTTTATAGCCATAATTGTGTCGATGTGCACCTCTTTACTCCAAACAAAAGCGGAACTTGCCTTCAGGAGACGGCCATTATTTTTTTTTTCTTTGAGAGAAAATGTGTTCTAATACTGTACTTGCATTGGTTTTCAGCCGTCTGGAATCGTTCAGAATAGGGGGGGGGGTGCAGGAGTGGGGAGGGGAAGTAGTGTTTACGATTGGAGGTTGAGGAAAGGGGTTTCCGACGGTGCTCCGATGATGCTTGTCGCCCTCCAATTCCACCATCCCTCCCTATTCCCTCACTTACACCCCTCATCCCACCCACCCTATTCCCAACCCCGAAACCCCAAAACCCCCACCTTTACCCTCCCACCCCACCCCTCCCCCACCCCCAACAGCGACACGGAGGAGGAGGACGAGCGGAAGCAAGGCTGACGCTGGTGTCCGGTTGCCTCCCTTGATCTGGCCCCTCTGGGGTCACGTGACACGGCCCACGGGGTAGGGGGCGCTGCCGGTGGCGAGGGGATGTCGTCCATCATGCATCCTCCCAGAAATTGACAGGGGTGACTTCGCTTTTGCAAAAGGGGATTAAAAAGCAAATTTCCTCCACACCGGTACCCGTAGCCCCGTGGAAGCGGCGGAATAAAAGAAGGAGATTTTGGGGATGGGCAAAGATGGAGAGATGGAATAATATTGTTCTTTCAGATGAAGTTGCTGAAAGGGGTTTCTTGGGCTCTGTCTAGGTGGGTGGTTAGGGAAGAAAACTGGTTGATACTACTTGTTTTTGGTTGTTTTTTACTCTCCACCTTTGTTTTTTGTTCGACTGTATTGCTTTTAAACAAACATTCCAAATACAATCGCACCTGTTCTAACCACCAGTGTGCAAGACAATCATCTGAACAAACGACCATTTCCCACTTCTTTCCTTACATTTATAAACTATTATTACGACACTATTTAAAAGGACCACCGGCCTAAGAAGATCACTTTTCTCTTCGACAATGGATGGTCGTGTTGAAGTGGTTTGAATGTATTAGACATTTCGTTGAGTGTCTATGTGCTCCACGCTTTAAGAATGGACTAAATTGTGTCGATTAAGGCTTTAAATGTTATTACAATCAGTCGGTTGTGACTGATTCAATGAGCGTTCAGTCAGGTTTAAAAAAAAATACATTGTGTATTTAATTGTTAGAACTAACGCAATTTTTTTTGCAGGCATAATTAAGTCATATCATGTTGCGTTCGGATAAAGATAAATTGTGAAGTGTCTTTTTAAAAAATGCCACTTACATAGAGAAGCCCATGTCCAAAACGTAGGGATAGAGAGAGCTCCAAATTATTTTGGAGGGAAAGCAAAACGTGGGATGGCCGGGAGGGGGGGGGGAGATCATGCGGGATGTTTTTTTGTAAAAAGAAAACAAGCACACGAAGGAGAGAGGGAGGGAGAGAGAGAGAGAGAGGGAGAGAGAGAGAGAGAGAGAGAGAGAGAGAGAGAGAG